AGGATATAGTAGAGCTTTCAGTGAACATTAGTAATTAATTAAAAAAATTAATGAAAACTGGTATGAAGGTGGAGAGAATACTTTCCAGTGAGATGCACATAAAAAACAAGAGCACTGCTGAATGCTGCAATTTCTGTACACACAGAGAAATTGAAACAATTTTGAATTTAATTTCTGCTTTGTCCAATAATTATATAATGTAATTGTTTCGATAAACTGATGGACTTAAACTGATATTCTTCTCCTTTTTTTATTCAAACTTAGTCAGAATATTAAAAACCTGACTTAGATTATTGTATAGATAAGTGAAACAAAAGAAAATAAATGAATAAATCTCTATTTGCCCCCAAACAAGTCTAGCGATGCAGTAAATTCCAGAGTCTCAGCTTCTCAGTAATTTAATGAAGAAAGAGAACCAACCTCTGAGGACTGTTCAGCCCACTCAGGACCTGAGTCACTGTGCAGAAGTGCCTGTCTCTCATGATGGATTACAGACAGATCACAACAAAAGCAGGCTTCCAAAAGGATGCCCTGAATACATATAATTTGGATATGGATTCTGAACTTTTTGTCAGAGATTTTGTCTCTGTGTCTTTGCTTTTGAATATATTGTTATTCAAATATGTAGTAGAAAAGTGTTTTTAGAATGCACTTTGGATGAATTTAAGAGTTTAAGGGCAAAGGTATGTGATCAGAGCCAAGTGGTTGTGGTTTTAATTATCATCTTTCCACTGAGATGTTTTAATCCCCAAACTATTGCAACTTTGGAAGGGTCTAAAATTTTACCAGTGTTTTCACTGGAAAACTTGACTGAGTCTTGTGAGGTTTAGAGAGCTAATGGCAATTTGCCAGCATAAGCTGGGCCCATTACTGGGTTTGTACATAGATTGTGTGCATCATTTCAGATGCAAGTTTATTACCGTTTCCTGTCCCTAATGATATATTTTCAATGGGTACATCTCATATTCTTTTAAGCCAAAGACTTTGTCACACCATCTTTCCTGAGCTGACGTGAATGTACACCCAGACTCTTCTTGTTATTTCCGGCTGGGGACGTATTAGCCTATGGCATAATTTCCGTGCCCCTACTGTGTGATCCTGTGCTTTGTATTTTTAGTTTCAAACCTTTAACTAATTCGGTGCTTCAGACTGTCTATCTAGTTAATTTTGCATGGTTTTCCATCTGCAACTTTTTACCGAGGGCTTACAGGTTCATGCCTTTGGCAAATGTTGTTGGTATACTCTGAATTTTTGTATCAATATAAGTAAAACATATAGAGGTCCAAAAACATAATTTGAAACATTGTCAGCAATCTTCTATGCCAGTAATATTCCTTTTATTCCTTATATTGTTAACTTCTTTTAAACTATGCTGTTATTCTTTTACATTTCTAGAGCACCTTATCCAAAATAATTTTGTTTTTCCTGACTGGTATTGTACCCAGTATATATGTTCATATCATCTAGATTTCCTGTGTTTGTTTTCTTAAAATATTTGTTATCTTATAAAGAGATATGTCAGGTTGATTTAGCATAATGATAACCTATTTTGGGATAAAACTGTTATTCATTATACTCCCTTTTCATTATCTCAGTGTCTCTGGCTATACAATGCTTCATAATTTGTTTCACATCCTTGCACAGCTCATGAGGTCACAGCCACTTGTTTTTATGTTGCCTGGATCATGTACATTCCTTTTTCTCATGAGGGAAAAAAGCTAGTCTTTATTTTTCAGATATTTGATTGCTACCCTAATAGATTCATTAAAAATCTTTGTTGTTAAACTATCCTTTCATGTACAAGTATTTTAAGTATTTTCAAGTAGAGATTATAGATCTTGCCATCTTGGTCTAGATGCTTCCTTAAAAACAGTTTTATGTCTTTGTTTTCTTCTCATCTTAGATGAGTAATTTCCATTTCCACAGAACATATCATTAGCCACACTGCATTTGCTACTAGTAGTCAACATCCCCATATTAATTTTGTTTTGGACTGCCTGTAAATTGTCTTTATCTTAACTGTATTTTTGCTGCTTGGTGAAGCAACTCTTTTTCCCCATTTTCTTTTTATTTGGATGATGAAAGTACCTTTTAGCACTTGCAGTTTTACAAGATCTGACCCTGCCTAACATTTTCTGTTGTCACTTTCTTCATATATTTTCTGACATCTGACAATCTTCCTTGCATATTAGTTTGCTGTTCCACCCTACAAGCTTTCTGCACAGTCCAGATATTCTCTCTGAGGTGACTGCTCATCTAGTTAGCGATGGAGCCCTTTGTTATAAAAGGTTTTTTCACGTTTGAAGATGCAAGTTTTTAACAGTCTACAGCCAGCCTTTTTTTTAAAGGAATTCTTGCACTTTCTTCAGTCTTCATTATATCCTTATTTTCTGATTTTTTTAAAGTGAAGTTCTGATTTATTTATGTTTAGCATTTATTTTTGTTACAGGCATTTTAAAAAAATGGAATGAATGTGTCATCACACTGAGATACAGCTTTCATGACCAACTATTCAGTAAGGTCTTGTAACCTCACTTTTCTTGTGTTATGTTTCACATCCTCGCATGCCTGGGTCTACCCTTCACTGGTGGAATTCATTTTCTGGGAACTTGCAATCTCACCTCATATTTTTCACAGTGATATTACCTGCTTATTTGCTATCATAATTATTTACTTACTAAATAATGTAGAAATTTATATATGACAAATGGGATCCTACTAAAGCCTTTCTAAAAAGAATCTGAAACCATTAAGAAACCTTTTGTGCTTTCTCTAGTTTTCTTACAACTTATCACATACTTGGTTTGTACTTCATCACATCACTATTTTTGCCCTGAGGAGGATCATATTGGTACATTGGCTGTGGAAAAAAGCAAGGAGAGGATTACTATGTTAAACTAACCTGCAGATGTACTGCATCATCTATGTGAAAGGGAAGATGCAGTGGGTTATTCAAGCTATTGCAGGCAGTTTTATGGCCTTCTACTCTTCAATAGTCCTCTCACACAAATTTTCTGTCAGAATATGACCATCACTTTAAAAGAAAAACAAACCCAAATGGCAAAATTAGGATGTTTTAAAAGGCGGTAAAGGTGAGAATCACACATTCAATCTTACAAATCCATATTAGTTAAATTCCTGATAGTTTCTTTCAGTTGTATGCAAGGGATCCTCCACTACTTTTCTCATTTTAATTAGTTTAACTCCTTTGCATATTCTTGTTAAATAAAGTCAAGAAACTTCTCTGTATAACTACTCTCATGGAGGTCTTTTATTAATTTCCTTTAAACAGACAAGACATTTGAAGTGAAATTATTTTTTTCCTTATGCATCATATGTTAGGTTAGTGCTGAAAGAGGTTTGTGCTGCTGGACCGTTGGTACTAACTGATAAACAGTGGCTTCTGTCTTACTCTGTCATTTAGACATGGAAATGGAAAAATGAGTCCTCCTTTTATTGCAGTATCTTTTCTTCACCAGCCAGCAACAAACTGTTAAATCACAAGAGTGCCTACCATAGAGAATACAAAGTCATTGTGATGAGTAATCCTTAAAAGAATGGAAAATGATTATATTTTGTCTTTAATTTTTTGTAAGCTATCCTAGGATTTACCATTTTCTGGAATGGTTTGTGTTGTCTCCTGTCAGTGAAGCAGAGTAATTCACAAGAGTAGATCTTTATTCTATATTTTATAACCTACTTTTTTTTAAAATTGTCCTTTACCAACAGAGAGTTATTCAGCAAGTCTGAAGGTGGGAACTCCTGTTTTAAAACAAGAACTAACACAATTTTCTCATATGTTTTTGATTTATGTTTTTTTCAGCTATTGAACTGTATCTTGTCGTAGGAGCATCTTGGAAATCAAACAAAGTTTTACTGAGCAACAAAAGATACTCCTTTTTCTAATTAAAATTGTCTCCTTTTTTTACAATAACAATAGTTATTTAAATTCCTTCATATTGGCTGCAGACTGGGCTTGTATTTTTCAGGCAGATTACTCTAACTGCAGAAACAGATGCATTTAAAATAGACTGCAATAAGATTCTACTTTTGAGATGTAGCAATTGGATGGGAATTTTCTTCTGTCAATCAGTTATATATTCAAATGATATTTATTTTGAAATTGAACACCCTGGTTTAAAAGATGTGCTATAGTTTTCACATTTACTACCTAAAATTATAAAGGGCTGCTGAAGAACTAAGTGATAGGAATTGCACCTGGAAGTTTGTGCGAAATGATACTTAATATGCAACATTAATAGTGTAAATTGCCAGTTCAGCAGCATATTTGGGTATTTTTGAAGAAACCTAAGGAATTTTCAAAAAACACCTTGCATTACTCTTATAATTATTTTATTAGTTACATTACAAATTTTGAGCAATTCAAATTATAAAGGGTTAGCATGCCATGTTATAGAACCACAGAACTGTTTGGGTTGGAAGGAACATTAAAGATCATACAATTCCACCCCCCCGGCATGGGCAGGGACACTTTTCACTAGACCAGGTTATTCAAAGACACATTCAACTTTGCCTTGAATGCTACCAGGGATGGGGCATCTATCAGCTCTCTGGGCAATGTGTTCCAATGTATTACCACTCTAACAGTGAAGAATTTCTTTCTAATATTTAATCTAAACCCGCCCTATTTTGGTTCTTTAAGATACTTCATACTTAACAAGCAATCAATATAGTGCTACAAATATCAAAATATACCACATTGTCAATATTGTGTCAATATTTAAAGAAAAAATTCAGTTTTACAACAGTGGCAACGTAGAGTGTGGGTAGGGAGTGAGAATTGGCTGGAGAAATCAATCGCCAGAGGAGACTTCATGAAGAAGGATATGCACTTCTCAGTAAGGGTAGGAGCTGCAGCTAGTCATGATCATTTAAAAATGGAATTGATGGAATCTATTTTAAAAGCTGGATAAGAAAATATCACTTTCTGAATGGAAAAAAAAAAAAGGACTTGACACACTCTTTCCTTCCTTTGCTAGGCCATGGAAAGTGTGACTGTGGGAAGTGCAAATGTGATGAAGGCTGGTATGGTGAAGCTTGTCAGTACCCAACTACTTGCAATCTTACACGGAGAAAAAGCAATGAAATGTGCAAGAATTCTCAAGATATCATCTGTTCTGGTGCAGGTAAGATGTCTTTTGTTGCTTTTGATGACTTGATGCTCTCCCAGTGTTATCTTGAGAATCACTGCAATTTCTTTTCTAACTAACAATTTTGTAGAGTATGTTTCAAAAGACTGAGAAACGACTGTATGCATACTGAAGTGTTTCATTTTCCTATAGGTCTATTTCTGTGCATATAATGTACACTGATTCATAATACCTACTTTAGTACTCTACCCATAGCTGTTTTAGGTTGGTGAAACTGCAGCTGTGTCATGTATTTTGCTCATCAAAATGTTGTGCTAATGGCATTAACTCAAGAAGTGATGCAATTTCTTTTTCATGTTTGTGTTTGCAGCATGCCAGAATGGCATTTGGAAATATTTTTGCAGGGCATTTATAAGCTGTACAATTTTTGGGGGACACTTTTGAATTGTAACAGTGATTATTAAAACCTGTTGTAGAAGGCCTGCTGAATTATTTTAAAGGGGTACGTCCATCTTCAGTTGTCTGATTTGGTGACACTCTTTTCTTTAATTGTTTAATTTAATAGCCATTCTAACTAAAATAGAGAGTCCTTTCCTTAAAGAAACCAAAACCAAACCCAGTAAAAAAACCCCACCAAAATCAGAGGAAAACTGAACAGCACTTAGAAGACTTCACTGCAGAATGGTAGAATTTTGGAGAGCATCTGCTATCAGTCAGGGTCTGAGACCAGAAATTGCCCTCCAGTTTTTCCGTGATATTGATCTCTGAAAGATTCAAGAACCCCACTTCTGCTCATTATTCCTGGCCTTTAGTTTCTCTCTGGGTCCATACATTCTCATATAATGAAATTTCTCACAAGTTAGCTGCTGGCATGAGCAAAGAACCCAAAGGATTTGTGGAACTTGTTACAGGGAAGTTAGCTCTCACAGCAGGATGTGAAGCCAATTTAACATAAAGCTTTTAACATGCGGCATGCCGAGTAAATGATACATTTCATTTATGATAATAATATAGATTATATGAAACTCACAATTGAGAGACAGATGAGAGGCAGTGAAATGAGAAACTGACTCTCAAAAGTAAGTATAGTTCACTGTAATTAGTCAAAGTTCTTAAAAGAAGCCCCTTTCTTTCCTTGGCTAGAAGTGGCCCAGTCTTCACAGAAAAAACAGTGAAGCTGAACAACCACTGTAAGTAGGAAAGTGTTTGTGAATGAATGCTTTTGGTTTTGCTGATATTAAACAGGACAGGAATGCTGATGAGACTGGCTAAGGAGTCTGGGGTAACTTTGTCTGTAGTCATATTTATTTTCTCTTGGAGGGA